CCATCATGGGGCGTTAAGATTTATAACTGGCTGTAAACTTTTAGCTCACCACTGTGGTCTATGTTCACTGGTTGACTGGTCCTCATTGGCAGCATGGTTCATTGGTATCATTTTATCTATCAATCTTTTTCTCCTTTACTGACCTTTTATTTATCAGAGTACATATTTAGTCATAGACTGCAGCGTTGGGACATCATTACATTTACTGTTCCAATAAGTTTATACGGAGCTGGGAAAGAGGGCATTCTCCTTTTCTGCCCCATCTTCATGGAATACATTACAGAGTGATTTGAAGATCTCTTAATTGATTTCAATTGCAGACTTCAAAAGATGAAGAAATGTTTTTTTGTGAAATCATCAGTGGGAAATTGTTCTTGTTTTTGATATAACTGTGCACATTAGATAAATTTAGCTATTTTATTGTTTTCATTTTAATACTATCGTTATACGGTGCATGTTAAAAAGCAAACAAAGAGTATTATATTAGCGGTTAATGTGGAAATCAGAGGCATTAGGTGTGGAGGACAGTCATGAACTATATTCAGAATCACCTTGTTTTTTTGGTTAATTAGTACATTCATTTGATCTTAATGGGCCACAAAATATTATCTTTTTCTGAGTCATTTTTTAAGCTTGAAGTACAGCAACAGATTCATATCTTCTACCAAGCCTCTTAGTTCAAAGTATAGATATAGATCTGACTATATGGTCAGGTGTGGCATTGCAGAGAGAACTGGTTTGTTATTAACCTCATAACAATTGCCCAACAGTGAATTGGTCTGCAAAAACATATCCAGTATTTCCCCACCTTGTTTAATCTTTGCCAGTGTTGAATGAAGTGTTTCCTCAATGACTAAAAATGTCAACACAACCAAAACCATGATAATACCTCTACCATGTTTATCAGTTAAATTTTGGTCTTGGTGTGTTATGAAACATCCAAGTATTTTGTTAGTTGAATTTGAAATTAAAACGTGCGTGCTGACCTTTAAACAGCACCAGCCATATCTAGTGTTTAGTCTTAAAGATGGTCATATAACCAGCTATATTTAGTTTCTTGCTGTTGCTTTTTACTACTTGACAGAATTGCATATTTTATGATATTAATGATATTTGATAAATATGGGATCTAAGGTCCTGCAAAAGTTGGCATAATTAAAGATTGGTTCACACAAAATACATTTCCTTTCCACAGGGCACAGAATTAGTTTTTTCAGATGAAGGGACACCTTGACAAACCACAGTCATCTACTTTGGCTTGGCTCCATGTAGCTTTTGAAAAAAAGTAGTTTACTTAATGAAAAGCACAGCTGCTTAAAATTATTGTACGGTTAAAGACCCTTTCAACAATAATAACCTTGAGACAACTGTTACTGTGATTTGTCACCATATACAGCGGCTTGCAAAAGTATTCGGCCCCATTGAACTTTCCCACATTTTGTCACATTACAGCCACAAACATGAATCAATTTTATTGGAATTCCACGTAAAGACCAAAACAAAGTGGTGTAAACATGAGAAGTGGAACGAAAATCATACATGATTCCAAACATTTTTTACAAATAAATAACTGCAAAGTGGGGTGTGCGTAATTATTCAGCCCCCTTTGGTCTGAAAGAAGAAAGTGTACTTTATTGGTCCCCGTAGGGAAAATCCCTCTCTGCATTTAACCCATTCACTCAGTGAAGCAGTGGGCAGCCACTGGGCGCCCGGGGAGCAGTGTGTAGGGACGGTACCTTGCTCAGGGGTACCTCAGGGTAGCTGTTCAGGGGAATCGAACCCCCGACCTTCCGATCATGGGGCCACCACTCTACCTACTGAGCTATCCCTGCCCTGAGTGCAGTCAGTTGCCCATAGACATTGCCTGATGAGTGCTAATGACTAAATAGAGTGCACCTGTGTGTAATCTAATGTCAGTACAAATACAGCTGCTCTGTGACGGCCTCAGAGGTTGTCTAAGAGAATATTGGGAGCAACAACACCATGAAGTCCAAAGAACACAGCAGACAGGTCAGGGTATAAAGTTATTGAGAAATTTAAAGCAGGCTTAGGCTACAAAAAGATTTCCCAAGCCTTGAACATCCCACGGAGCACTGTTCAAGCGATCATTCAGAAATGGAAGGAGTATGGCACAACTGTAAACCTACCAAGACAAGGCCGTCCACCTAAACTCACAGGCCGAACAAGGAGAGCGCTGATCAGAAATGCAGCCAAGAGGCCCATGGTGACTCTGGACGAGCTGCAGAGATCTACAGCTCAGGTGGGGGAATCTGTCCATAGGACAACTATTAGTCGTGCACTGCACAAAGTTGGCCTTTATGGAAGAGTGGCAAGAAGAAAGTCATAGTAAAAGAAAACCATAAGAAGTCCTGTTTGCAGTTTGTCACAAGCCATGTGGGGGACACAGCAAACATGTGGAAGAAGGCGCTCTGGTCAGATGAGACCAAAATCGAACTTTTTGGCCAAACTGCAAAACGCTATGTGTGGCGGAAAACTAACACTGCACATCACTCTGAACACACCATCCCCACTGTCAAATATGGTGGTGGCAGCATCATGCTCTGGGGGGGCTTCTCTTCAGCAGGGACAGGGAAGCTGGTCAGAGTTGATGGGAAGATGGATGGAGCCAAATACAGGGCAATCTTGGAAGAAAACCTCTTGGAGTCTGCAAAAGACTTGAGACTGGGGCGGAGGTTCACCTTCCAGCAGGATAACGACCCTAAACATAAACAATGGAATGGTTTAAAACAAAACATATCCATGTGTTAGAGTGGCCCAGTCAAAGTCCAGATCTAAATCCAATCGAGAATCTGTGGCAAGATCTGAAAACTGCTGTTCACAAACACTGTCCATCTAATCTGACTGAGCTGGAGCTGTTTTGCAAAGAAGAATGGGCAAAGATTTCAGTCTGTAGATGTGCAAAGCTGGTAGAGACATAGCCTAAAAGACTGGCAGCTGTAACTGCAGCAAAGGTGGTTCTACAAAGTATTGATTCAGGGGGCTGAATAATTACGCACACCCCACTTTGCAGTTATTTATTTGTAAAAAATGTTGGAATCATGTATGATTTTCGTTCCACTTCTCACGTGTACACCACTTTCTGTTGGTCTTTCACGTGGAATTCCAATAAAATTGATTCATGTTTGTGGCTGTAATGTGACAAAATGTGGAAAAGTTCAATGGGGCCTGAATACTTTTGCAAGCTACTGCAAATAATTGAATTGTTTAACAGCAGTTTTTATGGGATATGTGTCACTTAGAGTGCCTTTCATTCTTCTTCAGAAGCAAGTTCTATAAAAAGATTTAGGATTAGACATCATATATTTTAGTATAAAAACAAGAGTAGAACAAGCAAGAAATTAGGATACATGTGTGGCAGATACATAAATCTGTTTTTGTTGTTTTTACAGTGGCTGTTTCGGAGCCAAAGCTTTCGGTGATTTCAGTGGAGGGCGGTGACATAGCTCTGCATTGCGAAGGAAACTGCTGGCTGCCAGAGCCTCAGATAACATTTCTGGATGACAAAGGAAAAAAGATCTCTGAGGAAAATCCAAAAAGAGAACAAGATGCCCGTGGATGTTTCACTGTGACACGAAGAGCCACTCTGCAAAGAGCTACCAGCAGGTTATACATATATACTTATACTTTCTAAAACATCTATAAAGTGGTTTAGAAATGAGGAAACAAAATATTCATCTTGGCATTAATTTTTTTACAGTACTCTGCAAAACATTTGAACCTCTCTCTTTCTATTCTGCCAGGAAAATGGTAAAACACAGCTTTAAAAAATAATTCTTTTGCAGGACACTTCACACAATGAAAAGGTCACGGTCCACAAGGACACTTTTTCCCATATAAATGAAGACTGGCTCAAGACTTTTGCACAATACTACAGATGATGTTTTTACTAACCACCTAACAGTAAAATGAGCTTTTCACTAATATAGCACTAATTATGTCATTTAGTGTCACCTGCAGAGTTCATCAACCAGAGTTTAACCTGACAAGGGAAACAACAATCCTCATACCAGGTATGCAGGGACTTCACTGTGACATGTGTACATCTTACACCTAAAATCATGTTTTATTTGCATTTTTCATCCATGTGAGGTTTATGTTTTAGAGTATTTTATATTTTCAAAATATCCCAAGTTATTTATAAAACTGCACAGTGTTATGTCATTTTAGCTGGCTGTATGAAATCTGATCTTCAAATGGTTGTCATCACCATTGGAGGAACAGCTGGGTTTATCTTAGCTGCAGCTGGACTGATTGCTCTTTTGTTTAAGCCATGTGGCAAATTTGGTAAGTAACAGTTCTCAACTAAAAGACGAAAACAAAAACAGTGCTACAGCAAGGCAAGCCACGGAGCCATACACTTTTATATATACTGAGCAGCTTAGACATATTTTATAGTGAGGTATGTCCAGTGATCAGTAATCAGTGTTGGGAAGTGCACACACTGATTCTTAATAACATTATGACCACTGATTTTGTCTTCATCATAGCACCTGTTAGTGGGTGGGAAACATTATGGAGCAAGTGAACATTTTGCCCTCAGAGTTGATGTTAGAATTAGAGAAAATTGGCAAGTCTAAGAAATTGTAATGGTTAGGCTAGTCGGAGTATTTCCAAAACTGCAGATCTTGTGCGGTGTTTCTAGTCTGGAGTGGTCAAAATCTATGAAAAATGGTCCAAGAAAGGAACAGTGGTGAACCAGCAACACGATCATAGGTGGCCAAGGTTCACTAATTGTTGTGGGAAACACGAGCTGGTCTGTCTGGTCCAATCAAACAGACACACTACTGTAGTTCAAATTGCAAAATAAGTTAATGCCTGTTCTGATAGAAAGGTGTAAGAACACACGGTGCATTGCAGTTGCATAAGTGGCTGCATAGCCAAAGACCAGTCAGGGTGGCAGTGCTGACCACTGTCCAGCACTGAAAGCACCAACAATGGACGTATGAGCATCAGAACTGCACCACAGAGCAATGGAAGAAATGGCCAGCTGGATGGCCAGCTTTGTTTGTGTTGCTTACCTGGGGAACGCCTGGTATCATGGAGAAGAGCAAGCTGTCAGAGGCAATGTGATGCTTTGGACAATGTTCTGTTGGGAAACCTTGGGTCCTGCCATCCATGTAGATGTTATTTCGATGTACCACCTGCCTAAAAATTCTTGTAGACAATCCCCCTTTCATGTGAAAGGTGTTCCCTGATAACTGTGGGACCTTTTGGCAGGAAAATGCACCCTACCACAAAGCAAAAATGGTTCAGGAATGGTTTGAGGAGCCCAACAATAAATTTGGGGTGTTGACTTGCCCTTCAAATTCCCCAGATCTCATTCCAATCTGTTTGTCTGTTTGACATGCTGGACAAATAAGTCCTGGGAATTCCTTTCCCAAAACAGTGATTGGGAATGTGTTTTCTGAAGTCATAAATAAAGTGAAAAGCAGGGTAATTCTCTTGTAGCTGTATACATTTTGCTTTCTTTCTACAACTAGATTATTCAGCTGATTTATTTTATTTTATTTTACAGCTATTGTAAAGCAGCTAGAGACAAAGGAGTCATCAGATCGAAGTATAACGTGTGAAAGCTACCACCTACTGACAACGGACAACTTGGTAAATGGCCACAATGGGCAGATGAATGAGTTTCTTATGGATGATGAGACCATAAAAATACAGAACAACAAAGTTACTCACTACGACAGGGCAACAATTGTTCGACGCCATTCCACAACCACAGGAGATGTTCCAAAACCCTCACAATTATTCTTAAATCATAGCCCTGACATTAACAACGTCACCAGTGTGTACAATCCAAACCCATCTTCAGCTTCAACCAGCATTAACACTACAAAATCTGGCAACTTACTCAAAAGCAGAGGTTCGAAAATTGTTATCAAAAGACAAGACAGCTTTCCAGACCCTGGTCACATAGCCGAAACAAACCACCGTATGTACAGCAGTCCAGATATTTTACAACTACATTCACCAACATCCAACCCTTCTTCTGCTCTCAGTAGCCACCAGATGATCAACTCCAGTGTCTCACCGCATCGAAGCACCCGCCATCCTCAGCGTAGACACTCCTCAGTACTTCCACATTTAGCAGAATTCAATAACCATCACAACCTCCTGAGAAATTTACCTGAAGGAGATGAACAGAAAGGTTTATTAAGAAATGAAAACAAAAGGAAACATAAATTGTACTAGAATAAGTGCATGGCAAGGTAATGCTCACTTGGTTCAAATGATTGAAACTCCTTAACTGAGCAATAGGTGCTGAAATTTAACACCAGTGACTGATGCGTGGAGTAGGAGCTTGACAGTCAGCTGCAGTGACGTGAGTATTGCACTGGCTGTTGTGGTGCCTCAGTGTTGTTGGAAAAGGGGGGATCTTGGCATCACTGCTTAGATTGTTACCTCTAGATAAGAGTTCAAATAAGTAGTAGAAAAATGGAATTTAAAAGAACTGAGCCAGCCCGGTGGTGTATTTCCAGAAAACTAAGCTAGTCCTACAGAATCAGAATCAGAATACTTTATTAATCACTAAGGAAAGTATGTAAGAGATACAGGTCTTTGATTTTTTTTTTTTTTTTGCATTACCATTTGCAAAATCACAGAGACCATGATGCTTTACCATGATTTGGGGGAAAAAACAAAATGTTCTGTGCTAAAATTAGCATGGATATAGGAGATCTTTTCCAAGAATCTAAATCAAGTAAGCTCACTCTCTTCTTTTTTTTTTAATTGTTATTGAATTATTGTATATATCATGATGTATTCATCCTGCTCATACATTAACCTATTTGTTCTTTAATTAAAAATATTTCCAGGTTGTTGCATAAAATGTGCAAAAGGGTATCTTTGTATTTCTGTAATTGAAACGTTACATTTGCTAAACTTGGACAGTGAGCTCGGTTTCAGTGGCTCATGTAAAAATGTTTGTCATCTATCATCTGTAATCCCAAATGATATCATTTTTGTTTGGTGATGTTTTTGCACAAGGGCATGCATTCATTTAAGTTATTATTAAAATATAACTTTCCACCAACTTCACCCAGCTGTGAAAGTAGTTTACAAATCTCTCAGCACAATGTCCCAACAAAGTCCTGCATTCTAATATGATTTTCTCAAATATGTTTATAACTCGTATGTATGTGTGTGTGCGTGTGTGCGTGTGTGCGTGCGTGCGTGCGTGCGTGCGTGCCCCACAAGCCCATCTTTGATGATACCAGCCCAAACCAGTACTCCACCTCCACCTTGCTGGCGTCTGAGTCGGACTGGAGCTCTCTGCCCTTTA